AAAAAACAATCCACCCAAAGAATTGCACAAGTGTACTTCGTCTCAGAGCTCCGCACTTAACAGCAGATGCAGCATATGTTGACTTTCACCTTGGAACTCAATGAAGAAATGAGGCTGGATGATCAGGGTTCAGCGTCTTCCCACTAGCTGCACCAAAATGGTCTAAAAACGACAATCTGTCAGCCTGCACACTGCACTGGCTTCTGCATTCCTTGCCTGTATCGACATTTTGGGTAATGACAGAGAAGCTCTCCTCATTAAATTTGTGTCAAATAAAACTAGGACTAACAGTTAACACGATGAATGGCCGAAGCAAAATGCAAAATCATCTCAAGACTGGAACTCTGACCGATATCCATGGGGAAAATAATGCAAAGCTCTGCATTTAGGTGTATATCAATCACAGAGATGCAGAACAGAAGAAACTGGCAAATATGGATGTCTAAAAAACAAACAAACAAACAAAAAACCTCTGGGAAGTTTAGTGCATTACCAGTCTGATTTGAGCCAGCACCCAGGGCTGCGGCTGAAAAGCCTCATCAATACAAAGTGGGATTTGTGGAAGAAGGATGCTATTCCCAGTATGATGAGGGACTGCAAATTATGTCGCCAAGGACTATCTGTGGCAGCAGTCAAGCTTAGCTTGGACAGGGGACATGCTGAGTGCCTTATAAAACTCCAAGAGCTTTCAAGGGGAGGCGAGCTTGTGCTGCTCCAGAAAGCAGTGCGCGGTGTCTGCTCAACGCAACAAGAGGCAGCCCTGGAGAACCCATAAGGAGGCAGGGTTTGTTTAACGTCAGGGGGGTGGATACGAGTCCCAGGAAGGAAGGCCTCCCACCACTTCCCGGACCCAACAACAGCCCTCCCTCTGCCTCTGGAAGGATCAGGAATGTGGCTGGTGACATCGTTAACAAGACCTCGCCCATCTCCTCAAGGCCAGGATTCTATTTTATATCACGTGACCCAAAAAGAGCTCCAGGTCTCACTCACAGGTGGGGCATCTTCAGGGATCAGAGGGCACGCCAAGGACTTGAGACCAAAGGGTGCACTCAACGTCCTCCCCTCTTCCTGGAGCAAATGGCACCGTGGAGGCACTGGCTTAGGTGTCCTCGTGGACACTGCCTCCACCTCAAAACCAGCATGCCAAAGCTCTCCTGCCAACGAATCTCAGGGTCCAACTTCTCTGTTCCTGCCAGAGGCAATGCCAGACTCCTAGCTGCTCTGATTCAAAATCGCGACTCTATCTTTGATTCCTGCTTCTCCTTATCCACATCCGGAAACCCAAACCTATCAGGCTTTTCCTCGAGACGTCTCCATATCTCCACTGTTCTGCTTCCCCTGCAACTTGTGACCAGGTGTCACCACCTCACCACTCTGCTACTGTGCAAGCATGTCTACCTCCAAACAAGCACAAAGGAAGGCCAGAGGTCTGTGATCCGCAACCTGGGGCACAGCTGAAAAAAATTCCATGGTGGGGGTGAGGGGGACGGGAAAGGAGATAGAGGAGACTGAGCCAAGGTGGATGGCAATCCAGAGAGGGATGATTCCATGCCTGCAGCAGAAGTATCCCTGGAGAACCCACAGGAGGTGGGGAACCTCAGGCCTCCCCCATAGGCAAGAAGGTGATCTCTAAAAAGAGACACTCTTTCTGTGTTAGAGGGATGGAAGGCCATGCTTTACAGCACAAGCTGAATCATTTCACCCCAATTTATTAGACTTCCAGATGGATGAAGAGAAAAAAGTCCCTACTGTGAGATAAGTCGGGAGATGGGCATCTGCTTCCTACCTCTGACTGCAGACTTTAAAGATGGGCTTTTGTAAATAAAATGAAACACAGTATTGAAAACACTTTTTTCCTTTCTTTTTAAAAAAGTAATTATTTGGCTGCAAATGCATCATTTTCTCCTCTGGCTAGGAGTCTCAAATATCTGCAAATATGCATTGCATAATGACCCACTGGCAGGCTGCAAGATCACATCTTGTTGCCTTTCATGGAAGGAAAACGAACAATTATGAAAACGGAATGACAAAGTTTCTCTAATCCAAGATTTCATTTATTGACTCTGTGCCTGTTTAAGGCTAAAACAATACGATTTCAAGGTAAACCTTTTAGATTCCAAGAAATCGGACTGTTAGTCAAAAGAAAACCCTAGGACCTCTGGCTTTCTGGACTTCTTAATTTGAACTTGAAAAAGCTATGCGTAAGGAGGGGACAGAGGCTCCCTTCCCAAAACCTAAGGGTTTCAGTCTGTGCACCCATGCTTCTTGCAGATACTTCACTATCCAGACATGGGGGTAAGGGGGGATGTTAGGGGCCTCCGTTGCTGGTTTTGCAAATAAGAGCAGATCTCATTAGAACTACATGGAAAATCAATCTGCTGGCTGCTGTCACTGCTGACTTCCAGCCACCAGCCTGGAGCTGAACACACCCTGCAGAACAGAGCAAGTCCTGTATGTGACACCACAGTGGGTGGACCTAGGCAGGTCACCCATGGTCCCGTTTCTCACAACACTGTAAGCTCCAAGGCTCAGGCTGACCATTGGCTCTATTTTCTTGTCCTCACAGGGACTGGCTCAGTGTGGAGCACAGGGGCTGGAGACTACCATGGACCCTCCTTTGGGCAATCAAAGATGGAGGAAAAAGCAGCACTGATTTAGTACAGATGCCCCATGTGGCTGGGGAGAGGAACACCCCACCTCTGACAGAGGCCTCAGGGAGAGAAGCCCAGGGTCACGAACACTGTCTGCTGGACAGAGAAAGGAGGCTGGGAAAGAATAATTCCTACAAACCCATCTTTGAAGACTTCTGATTTTTAGGATTTCTCCATGTTACATAGAAATGCAATAAGGAGGTTCCATTTCATTTGCTTCTCTTAAAAGAATGATTCCAAAGAAAAATCAACAGGATGGTATTGCAACACCAAGGACTCTGAGTCCTTCCCTCCCTTCTACTGAGCAGAGAAATGACCACTGTGGGGACTGTTTCCTCCTTCTCTTCTCCTTTTTCTTTTTCTCCCCTGGGGTCTCTCATCTCACGTTTCTTCTTCCTCCCGACCCACCACCTAGATCTTGCCCTTGCTCTATGACCTTTCTTGCTGATAAGCTAAAAGACTGTCACTTTTCCTACTATGTTAGATTTTATTTCCTTTTAGAAATAGGGCTGGCTATTGGTATTTTATCGACTATAGTAAAGCTACAAGGATTTCTTTATTTGTCGATAACATGTACCAGAAGTCATTTCTATTGCAGCATCTCCTCCCCTCTCCCTAGACTGTGGGGTCCTCAAGACCATCCAAAGAGCTTGGGAAGGGAGCAGCTTTCAAATGAACGCGAAGCTTGGGGAGGGTTCCCAGCATAAGGAAAAAACAGAGAACACTGAAACAGGATATGAGATAGAAATCTTCCCTCAGCCTGGCGAAATCAACCTAGTAAAGCCAGCATTTCATTCAGCATCTAAGGTCACCTACAGCAGTTTGTAAATAGAGTCATTTCCATTTTCCATAGAAAAAAAGCCAAAAACTGGGGGGAGGGAGAGATTGAGAGACAGACAAAATTATCAGTCTTCTAAGAGAAACCATGGCTATTTCTACTATGAAATGGGGGGAAATCGATCATCAATAATATGAGGAAAAGGAAAACTGAGAGGGAGATGTAAGGGTCAGCCAAGGATATGGGACACAATGAGTACTGTGCATCAGTGCCACCCATAGAGAAAAGGCCCTTCCCACGACACAAGGGCACCATCATCAGGATGACAGTCTGCAAGGACGATAAACCTCAAATGGAATCTCTCCTCGACACAAAGTCAAATCAGGGCTGACCGTCCCTGCAGCAACCCCAGAGTCTTTGGGAAGCAGGTAACAGGAGAGGTCTGGCCAAGAGAGAAGATACCACCATGAGCATATCGCTAGTGCACAGCAGCCTTGATAGGCACGCCAAAGTGGGGTGGCAGTGAGGACAGGGATGGGAGCAGTTCAGGCTGATCACGGGCTCTCCGGACGCCCCCAGAATATTATGTTGACTCTGTGACCTCTGTAAGTCAGGTTCAAGTCCCCCGTGCAGACCCTTTAGATGCCCCGCTGCCTGACCTCGTTGCCCACTACCGTCAATCTCATCTCCTCCACACTGCCCCTCCCCACCCTCACCCCAAAAGCTGAGGACGCTCCAGCCTCGGTTCACTCACACCTGCGCAGGACAGGATCCCGTTTTACTCCTCCTCAACCCCCCCTCCAAACGGCCTCTCTCATGGCCCCCACTGAGGTTGCAGGGAAGACCACGCCAGGCTTGCCCAGCGTGCGGTACACCTCAAGGGATAGGGTTCATCTGCCCCCTTGGCGGGGCACTCCCAGGGCGTGGGATCAAGTCGTGTTGGATCAAGTCATCACATGCCAAGATCCATGGGAGAAATTAGAGGATTCTCCCAACTAAGCGCTCTCTTCTCAATTGCAAAATGAGGATGATGCTCTTTACCTCATCATGGTCTCAGTGGATTAAAGGAGGTGTAATGCTTACAGAACACCTACTGTGGTGCCTGGGGCCTGGTCAATCTTTACTAAATGTTAAATTACTTCTATAACTGATGGTAGAGTTGAAAGGGGGTCTCAAATTCCTTCAACTGCGTATAAGAATATGCACATACCTATGCACAACACACAAATGTGTCCTGACGTCATTGAACATAAGTGAGCATGAAATGGAACAGGTAAGATTGATACCGTATCTATGGTACAATTTTTAAGTTAAACACTAAAAACTAGAGGTGCCAAAAGCATCTGATTAAAGCTTAAAAGAAGAAAACATAAAATGCATTAAAAATTCATAAGCTTTTTGCAATTTGAATGTATTTTAAAATCTGTAAAACAGTCCTCTTCACTTATCCTGTTACAAGGCTGGAACCAAGCTGAATAGACTTCCTTTTTGCAAAACCATCTCAGAGAGAACAAAAAGAAAGGTGTGTGATACGCAAACCGAATAAAAGTTCAGCTATAACCTTCTCTTACCTTTGACCCAATGAGAGTGTACAGCCACTGAATGGTTTCATTGTGGTTTATTACTCCATTCATCCCATCCACATACAACATAATCTGGCCCAAAGCTACAGAAGAGAGGAGAAAAAAGGAGGAGACGTTACGGTTTTATGTGTAATCTTCAGTGATCATAACGTCAGTTGAGATTTTCATATTTTAAGTACATACAGTGTGTTATGAATCAAATCTGAAGAGATTTCCTGAGCTCTGAAATTAGCTACATCTCTTCTCAGAGAGAAAGTGTTGACCATGGCAGAGGAAGCAAGGGCTATTCCTGGTGTCTAGAAGATGCAATTAAGGTACCAAATCCAGTGATTGTTGTTTCTGTGTGTCCTGATGTATAAATGCATGTTTGTATGTTTCTATATCTGTGTGCCATCCCAGACGGGGCAACCATATCCCCAGGATGGTGTCTGGATTGTGGCCTCCCGCAGGGGCCAAGAGGCAAAATCAGGTTTTGAAAAGCAACCTGACAGGTCTCAGATGCTATGAACCATCCTGAACTAATATAATTTTAATCCTTAAGGTAAGAGATAAATACATATTTTATGATTTGTAATTCCATTAAAAGACTATTCAGATTCTTTGAAATGTCAAAAAGCCTGAAAAAAATAAGTTTTCAGATGCCAAGTCCCAAATGCTTAGTTAAGGAAAAGACAGTCACCGCATATTATCATTATTCATCAGAAAGAAAACACAGGCCATATTGCTACCTTTAAAAAAAAAAACAATTATTAACTCTAATTCTTCAGTTCCCTTCATATCAAAATCACTTGGATTCTAGATAATGAACAAACAAGTTACATATGCGACAGAAATAGACTTCCTTAAATCACGTGTGACCTCCTAAATCTTTTTTCACCCACCATTACCTGGCACAGGATTGATGTTTTTAGGCAACACTTTTTTCATGGTCACAGTAGGACACCTCATTTTAGAAAATTGGAAAATAGAGAAGAATGAAGTGAAAATAATTCAATAATGCCACAATTTAAGGCTAGCCACTCTTAATATATGGATATATATTCTTTTATTCATCAAACATGCACACACACACGTTTATATGTAGGTTGTAGGAAAATGGGGCTGAATGGAAACAGTGAAACATAAAATAGGGAGTATACACTAATTCCAAGCATAGAAATACATACGTGATGTTAAGAAATACTTATTTTCCTAGCCAACAAAAGATCAAATAAAACCACATAAATATCGTGAGAAAAAGGATGCTCCTAAATATGCAAAAACTTAAGCTTTTGTTTAAAAAACTGAATATATCCTTGACACAACACTGCGGTTTTTTTTAAAAATAACAGATTACTATTCCATTTAATGGTGCAATACTGGAGATAGTCCTATTAAAATCCAGAAAATTAAAAGATGGTGTCCACTAAGCCCCATGATTATTTAGCCCTATTACAGAATTTCAGGCAATGAGGGGTAGGATGGTTGGAAAGGAATACATAATGTTGTCATTCTTTGCAAGAAATATAGACCCAATTAAAAATTCATCTCCAGAATTTACAATGAAGAGATCACAATTACAACCACTTTATCATCTTCATGAGAAAGAAGTATGTAACGTAAAAGAAAATCAAAGTTTAATGTAAAGAAATAATAAATGGCCATATGATAGCAAGTATGATAAAGGTTTTGATGATTTACTGTATAAACAATTCAGACAAATTGATAAGAAAATGCTAAATACCGAGAGAAAAAAGTCAAAAGCATTTCGTAAGAGAGACAGCAAGCTGGTTTACAATAACACATCAATTTGTCCATCATCACTATAATAAAAGAATTAAAAAGATAATGAGGTAGCGTTTTCTGTTAAATCAGCAGAGGTATTTTTTGAAAGAAATAATTAGGTATCAAATGCTTGAGAGGTTCAACAAGTAACCTCACACATTCCGGGTGGCAAGGCAAACTGGTACAAATCCTTTAACAAGGTTATTTAGTGCTGTAATTGCTTTAAAAATAATTTCTATTTATTTAATGCCCACTGTGTGCCAAGGTCTGAGGGGGCACTTTAGGTGTTACTCCCATTTGACAGAGAAAAGAAAACCCAAGTCTCTGAAAAGTACAAGAATGTACTCTAAAAACCCCATTGATACCGGGTGGGGATGGGAGGGGTGGGAATCAGTCAGTCAGTTAAGTGTTAAGTCACTTCAGCTCAGGTCATGATCCCATGCTTGTGGGTCGGAGCTCCCTGTTGACTCTGTGCTGAGAGCTCAGAGCCTGATGCCTGCTTTGGATTCTGTGTCTCCCTCGCTTTCTGCACTTCCCCAACTCGTGCTGTCTCACTCTCTCCCTCAAAAATAAATAAGCATTTTACACACACACACACACACACACACACACATGACCACCATTGATACCAAGGGGTGGAGCCCACCTCCAGCCAGGGTAAGCGGGCTCTTTTGTGTCACTACTGGGAGCCTAAAAGTCCTCTCTGAGCTCTTCCCAGACATAGTGATTTCAAGAATCTGTACTAAGAAAAATATCCTAAGTTTAAAAAAAAAAAAAAGTGAAGCAGCAGTGAAGACAGTCACTGAAGTGTCACCGATATTAAAATATTAACTAAGACCTGGGGCACTTGGGTGGCTCAGTCAGCTGAGCATCTCAACTCCTGATTTGAGCTCAGGTCATTTCATGGTTGTTGAGATCGAGCCCCACACTGGGCTCTGTGCTGAACGAGGAGCCTGGTTGGTGTTCTCCCTCCTGCTCCCTCTCTTTCTGTCCCTCCTCTGCTTTCTCTCTCAAACAATATTAAAATTAAAAAATATTAACTAAGACTTAAATATCGACTGTAGTTCTAGAACTCAGCTTTAGTAAATGACTGTGTGTTATGTCCTAACCCATAAAATGTTTCCGAGAAATGTTAAAAAGTAAAAAATTATAAACATGACATAATTCAACAAAACAGTCAAGTCTTCATGCATAGAAGGAAAGGAAAATACAAGAAATATTAAACTTATGATTGGGTGTATGTTCTTTGGATATTTCTTTTTCCTTTTGTTTTTGTATTTCCCATTATGGACATCTATTACATTTGTAATAAGAAAGTAAATAAATATACAAAAAGGAACAAAATATGATTGTTTAATAGAAAGCATTAGGCGTTTTTCTTGGTTTTTAGACTTCTTTTCCTAGCCCATCCCTCCCAACGTACTCCTCCCTCCTTCAGAAAGGTACAGCCCACACCAGGGAATAGCGCCAAGAATTCAGTACATTCTACCCCATTTTTTCCCTTTCCTCCTTTCTTTCCTCCTCTCCTACCCAAAACAAACTGGCAAATCTCCAGGAAAGGGAAGCATGCACCACTGTCCTCTTCCCATTCTACTTCCACTGGTGAAGCAAATCCACAGGCAGATTTTAACACCTTCTTCTAAATTAGCTTAAGGGCACAGGGGAGACAATCTACCCTCCAGCCTTTGAAGAGATGAATCCCTAAAGAAGACCCTGTCTCTAACGCTGAAAAGCTAGGACTGAAGGTCTTCACCCTAACAGCTCAGGGCTGCCTGCACTGTAGGAAACCCAAAAGGCTAGAGCCCTATGACAAAAGACGACAGCAAAATGAGATTTAAAAGCCAATTTGAATTTCCTTAAGTTTTCTATGATCGGCTTCCCTCCAAGATCATATTGTTATTCACAAATCACATGGAGGCAACTCACCAAAAAGTCCATGTCTAATGGAATTCACGTTTCTGGTCACACTGATTTGTCACATTTTGATCATCAAAAGCATTCCCTCTTGATCTTTTGTATCCCAGTCCTAGCGCAGAAGCACTGCTTTCTGTAAAATCCACTGCAGACACAAGAGGGCGCTAAGTGGACTGAAGTGGGTTAACACCGCACTGATTCAGCCTCAAAAACCCACCAACCTAAATGCGGGCGGATTAAAGTAGATGGCCTGAGTCAAGGGAGCCATGAAAATCAGTGATTTGCATTTTCAAAAAGAATGAGGAAGATGAGGATGTCAGAACGGAGGTGGGTAACAGCCCAGGTCCAAAAACAGGCTGCTCAGGGTATTTGTTGTTCTGCCACTGATGGAATTTACGCGAGATACACTTACGAATATTTGTGCTTCAGTTTCGCCATCTCAAAAGTGAGATAGTAAATACTGTAGTCTCGATTTTGCAGGGGTGTTGTAGGGATTGAGTTAGAACAATGCCTGACTCAGAGTAAATTGTTCAATAAATGTGTGTCCTATAAATTACCTCACTGAAGTCAATCGTCTACTGAACAGAAGCACACATTGAAAGAATCTCAAAGACATAGAGTAGGGGAGTAGACCTTCTGCCTAATGCTAAGTCATAAAAGTTTCCTCCTGTTTTCCCTAAAAATTTTAGTTTGGGGGTGCCTGGGAGGCTCAGTTGGTTGACCATCTGACTTGATTTTGGATCAGGTCATGATCCCAGGGTCTGGGATCAAGCCCTGCATGCTGAACATGGAGAGTACTTAAGATTCTCTCTCTCCCTCTGCCCTTCCCCTGCTCATGCTCTCTCAAAATAAATTAAAAAATAGAGATGTCTATTATATGACTAAGCCATTTGAATACACATACATACACCTATACATATATACAATCACTCTCAAAATAAATTTAAAAAAATTTTTTAATGTTTTATTTATTTCTGAGAGAGAACGAGCAAGCGAGCGTGAGCAGGGCAGGGTCAGAGAGAGAGACACACACACAAAATCTGAAATAGCCTCCAAGATCTGAGCTGGCTGTCAGCATAGAGCCCGACACGGGGCTCGAACCCACAAATGGTGAGATCATGACCTGAGCTGAAGTTGGACGCTTGACTGAGCCACCCAGGCGCCCCGCAAAATAAATTCATAAAAATTATATAATTTTTAAAAAATCTGTAGTTTTACTTTTTTAGCTATATGATCCATTTTGAGATAACCTTTGTGTAAATTGTGAGGTTTAGATTGAAATTCATTTTTTTTCATACAGACGTCTATGGAATCCAGCTCCATTTTTTGAAGAGACTATTCTGTTTTTATTTAATTGGTTTCACGGATTTTCAAAAAAACAAAAAAAACAAAAAAAACCAAATCA